GAGGCCAGCTATACCTTAGTAATAAATGCACTCAGGCTAACATATTTTGGCATCCTCTTGCATATTAAATAGACCTACCACTTTGATGCTGGCCTATCGTGGAAAAAAATCGTCTTCTGGTTTGCCTTTGATTACTAAAAACATTATCTCAATTTTACGCTCAAATATCTCTTTTTCTATCGGAATTGCATAGTCACCTTTGCTTTTATTTATTGTTGGTTATCTTCTGTTGCGTTTATTGACTGTTTCATATTGCGAATTTCTGAATTATTCATATGGCGTTGTAAGTACTGCTACATAGTTTCTTTCGTCAACCCGATTTCTTAAATTTATTTTTAGTTCTCATGGCGGAAAATGGACGACTCAGATTACTCGAGCGCGTGATTGATGCATTTGAGGATATGATGCGTGGTCATCGTAATGAGGTACTCTGTATTGTTACCACTGCCAAGCCTTTGGATAACAGTTCACAGGGCGAGGTTACTAGTGTGATAAAGAGCATGCTTAAACCTGATCAAAAGCTTAATCTGAAGCTAGAAGTAATACTAATACATTTAATTTATGTTCACATCTTCATCTCATCAAATACTATTTTTTATTTATAGATTAAGCCCAGCATTATCGGAGGAATGATTGTTCGCATCGGTGATAAATATGTTGATATGTCAATCTCCAAGAGAATCGAAACTTTGGAGCGCCTTATCAAGGAACCAACTTAGAATGATTCTCGTTCGAACGGTTTTGGAATATTTTACTCTGCTCATTGAAGCTAATATCTAAATGATATTTAGTCATCAAAGTTTATATAATGTAGATAAGTTTTTTGCATATTCGCCTTCTTGTTATTCTCTACCGGTGTGGGATATTTTGGTAGCAGAGATTGTGATCACTGTTCCGGATTTGCCTTTATTCAGCTCCCATACCTCAATGCACCTCAGCAAATTTTTCAGAGGGGCTGCAAAATAGTAGTCCAAGTAAGGTATATAATTTCTTTCTACTCAGTGGGGACTGCCCTTTAAATACTTGTAAGCCAGGGCATCATTAACTTTCGCATTTTTAGGTTTCAGCATAACAGGGAATCTAACACTCATTTCGATATCTTTATCGTCAGTCTCACATTTGAGCCGTAGGAATATGAGATAACAAAATTTTCTAATTATTCGAGCAAATCTTGTTATTTATATGCCATCCTTTTGGACATCATCCAGACTTTGTATGTCTAATATCCCGCTCTTACGCACCATAGATACGCTACTGCTCGAAGCCGTCTGAAGGCTATATTAGGCCATAAAATTCACGATAATCCTCTCCTCTTGTCACGGCCCTACTTACTCATTGGAATAAAGATGATGGTGGCTGCCTGACCTAGAACATAGAGTATGATTGCGAAGGCCATCAAAATAAAATAAAGTGGGGCCACCACCTAGCCGGTACTCAAGACGTGTAATTCTGAAGCTCCAAATCTGAACCAAAGGGATCGTGCTGGCCCATATTTGGAACTTAGGAGCTCTCGCGAATATGGTGGTTGGTAATGAAGAGCCATTTCTGACCTGGGGAGTTGTTCACATGATTAAGGAGAGGTGGACGCGATGGCACCTAGTCTAGGGATATACAACACCCGAAGTATCTGACCTGATGGAACACAGCTTCCTACATTGCGACTACCAACGATAGACATTATGATAATTTGCTTAATCCTTAAGAAATGAACTAGCTGAGCGGCCATTTGGGACAGCAGTTCTAATAAGAAATCTGCTGGCTTGTTAACCTTGTAATCATGAAGATCGAGACCGAAGAAGAGGTGCAGACGACCACTGATGCACGGAGAATAATCCATACGTGCTCCCGGAGAGTAGGCCTCGATCTGTGCCCCTGAACCCTAAGTTCATGTCATGTAACAACAACCCGATCCACAAATCCAGGAATTAAGAAATAAATCAAGGAAGCTTATAGACATGCGCTTTAGCGACCGTAAGAACCCTATTGGAAATCAGTCATTTTGTATATTATCAAAATGAAGAACAAATGGT